ATTTACGTATACTGAATCACGTGATCAAAGATTTACAACATCTCGGATGCATCCGATGTGGATATTCAACCGCGGCAATTATCATGCCTGTAGAGTTGTAACATGGATGTAAATTAAAAATATACAATAATTTTAAGATAAAAGTAAAAACTAAGAAATAACAATTAATGATAGGTAGTGTTGCAATAATAGAAAATAAAAATGTTAATAAAAAGTAGTGAATAAGTTATTAAAATAGTGACATGAGTGAGATATTTAATCAAAATTTTAAGAATAAATAATATATGTAATAGCAGTTATGAAAAAATGTGCACAATTGAATAATGTACCAAATGAAGTACCAATTTAATAATACAAAAACATATGTTTGGTCACTCTGTATATTCGAAAATAATTTTTAAATGTGCAGATTAACATTATCTACATTAACAAAATGTAAGAATATTTAAAATTCTTTGAGCATTTTCTTTTCTTAGATGTGAATATTTTTTTCCAAAATAGTATATCAAGACACCAAATAGTACCACCAGAAGCGTAGCTAGAAATTTGTCATGCTAGGTTTAAAGATCTTAAAAAATACAGCAATGTTTACCCCCAACATGCTAGTTGCCATGACAACTGAATTTTAATGTGGCGCTATTGACAAAACTGAATCGGTCCAACGTTAGTGCTTCGGCTTTTGTCGGTGTATTTAATAGTTTTATTTCTAGTACTTGTCTGTTGATTTTATTGATTGTTTCTTGTTTTTTTACATTCAAAGTTTTATAATCAAAAGTAAAATTGATCTGTATTGTGAAACAATTTGACTTAATTTAAACAGGAATTTACAAATGGTACGGTAGTAACATGTGTAACTTTCGGCATTTATTAGTCTTGTGAATAATAAGTATTTTTATGGTTTATTGTATACCATACCAAAAGATTTTAGGAAATATTGGTTATTAGCCTAGAGAGATCATTTGCTAAGCATGAAAAAATGTGTTCAGATTATTTTAAAGAAAACACAGGAAAATAAAGCTCAGAGTAATAATACCGTCTCAATATTTGGCCACCCAACCCAATATTTTTATTTCCCCAAGAAAGCTTTAAATTCAGATGATATATAACACTAAGTAATAATGTTATTAATTTACATTCAAATAGCTCTTCGCGCCAGACAGTTCTAACAGCTTTCGGCGATTGTTGTTTTTACGAACAATCCTCATCCTCCATATCACATCATGCTCATACTACATCCGTACATAGCAGTCAGATCATAAATAAAATTAGAATGTCATTTAGACAACAACAGTCAAAACTTCCATACCAATCAATCGCAACTAAGGAAAGTATTTGAAAAAAAAACAACTTACGAATTTGAGTGTCTTACATTTGGTTTGACCATTTGCTGCTTATGTTTTTGCAAACACTTTAAAACCGGTAGTGCATCAACTAAGGCTTTTGGAAATAACCTCAATGATTTCCTAATTACATCTAAATTTAGTGATAAATATCTCAAACATTGTAATACAACGGTTGATTCTTTACAATCTCTATGACTCATCATAAACAAAAAAAGAGTTTTTTTATCTAAAGTGTGCCAGAACTCGATTGTAGCTGATGCATTTCTTGTATAAGTACTAAAATTAGAAAGACCAAGCAGGAGGCATAGTGATTGTACCAAAATGGGAAACTCAACCATCCCATGTTACAAAAAAAATAAATAAATGCTTTTTACGGTACATGTCAACAATTAACCTAGTTATTCACTGCAGCAAACCTTCATTTAGAACTCCTTATGACCAGAGTTCTGCCCTAGCTCTCATTATAAATAGTCCCTAATTTTCATCATAGAAATCCTGAATAATAAAAGAAAAAGTATATTAGGAAATTTCTAAAAGGGTCATCCTATTTTGCCAAAATGTATTCAAACTTGAGATCAAAACACAGTTTTAAAATACTTCAGTAGTTTCTTTCACTTGAAAAACTTGCTAAGAGCCAAACTTGTTATGCTTGCAGCCCAACGGGTATAGACTTTCTCAAAAAATAAAGTTTTCAGAAACAACCGAAGTCAGTTTTTGAGTATTCAGGAGGTGAAAAAACGTTTTCAATTAGGACCAGGACTAATGTTGTTTCAGACATAAACAAATATTTTAATTTGTCATAATTATAACTGAGAATATTTAGGGGATATACGTTCTTTCTACGCTAAAATTGTGTTACTCCAAATACAATGTTAATGTGGTAAACCCAATATGGACAAAAAGTGATTTGAGTTGTTTCTGAAATAAGCGATTCAATTAGGATCGAACTTCCTTCAGGTAAGTCGTTTGATCCATTAATTCTCTTGTATTTAAATTTACTTGTACTTGAATTTACCTACATGAAAAAATCATCATAATTATATTACTAAAAATTATACCTACTTATTACGTATTTTTTTAACATACTACTCTGACAATACTGGTAAGTTTAAAACTCTACGCCACTGGCGAGCATATTATGGACACTGTTTATAACGTTGCCAGCCGGTCCTAAGAGATCTGTCTTTCTCTCTTCCACTCACTAACAATTTTAAAACAATAATAGTCCGCAATTGTATGGGATTTATGAATGAAACATTTTGTCTCTATGTTGTAATGTCTTTGTGTTTGACAGACTGGCGTCCACATAGGCGTTTCCAATTAAACTAAACAGGAACATCAAAATTAAATTAAACACTTGTTATATTCAACTACAATACATAAGAAAGTGACTTAAAAAACATAAAAATATCGTAGTAGCCCCGTGGAAAACGGAACGCAAAACGCTTGAAGTTGACAGTCTAGCGTCCAACCGATTTTTTTTTTGCCCCATATCGGCTAAGAAATAAAGAGTAAGACTTATGACATAACCATTCAGTTTATTACGAAGGTCGGTGTCTTGGAGTAGTTTTTCTAATATTAACTTAAAACTGTAATAAAGTATTTGTTATAATAAAGGTTTAGTTTTATTGTATTAGCGTACCCATAAAGAAATCTAGACTTTCTGGGAGCTTAGGGGGGTACCGTCAACAAAGTAAAATATTTCGGATAATATTGTTTTTATTAAAAAAAGTAAATAAAAACAAATATTTTTTTTATAAAGCGATGAAAAAGTGAATAAAAACAACATACCTTTGTGGCTACGCCACTGAGCACCACGATATGCATTCTGCGCTATGAAGTGAACTATTGCGCCCATGGTTTCTGCGGTAGGAAACGTATAAGTACGAATAAGTATGCATAAGTATCAAATTCGTGCTTACAGAAATGCAGAAGGTATTTATTAGGAAGGGCAGAAAATATGATTGGATTCAATTTAGGTAAACTTTTAGGTTGTTTAGAATGATAGCACACATTTTAACGTAATATTATAAAAATAAATTTAAGGATATTATATATTTAGATTAAAAAACCCAATTATAAGAGAAAGGTTGATTAAGACTATCATTCACATCACTTTCTAAAAATTGTAGCTGACGTTTGCTCATAATACGAAAGAAATGATGACTCTTCTACACGCTACATCCTGGGTTATTTTAAGTTTTTCTTGGGAAAATAAGCAGAGCATGAAATGTCGTTTGCCGTTTACACACAACTTCGTATAAAATATTAATGGAGATGTCACTTTTGATAAAACCCAATACAGATATTAGAGACATAGATAAAGTAAAAAGTTGTTACACGATGAAACCGGAAAGTTAGTTTAACTTCTTTGTAGCTTTATTAATGTTGTGTTTCTGAGATGAAGGGTATTATTAAACATAGATAAAATACAAAAAAAAAATAGAACATGCCAGTAAAAACCAAACTAAGTCTTATATCCACTCTTCTTTGAAAATAAAAAATCTCTTTGCCTTTACCATTTAAGCCAGTGGTTCTCAAACTCTTTTGGTGACGGAACCTTTTTAAAAGCGAAATATTTGACGGAGCCCTAAACACATTTCTAAAAAAAAAAGTCCACCGAGCAAAATCCTCCTTGCTCTAGCCTCTTGCCAGGTCCCTCCTGCTTCTTCGCCGAGCCCCCACAAAAAAATCCTCAAAATCATATTATACTTCCTCTGGCCTCTAAAATAAAGCCCTTCAACCAGAATACCAAAATCATATACTCCTTACTCTTACTGACTTCTAAAAAAAGTTCTTCAAGCCAAGTCCCGTTGTAGCGATAGTACTGCTTTTTTTGTTATGAATATTATTTTCTTCGCAGAGCCCCCACAAAGGCTTTGAGGAGCCCCAGGGCTCCGCGAACCACACTTTGAGTAACGCTGATTTAAGCCATCAAATCACATTGCTATGATGGTCGAATTGACACATTGAAGATATCACATTCCAGTTCTAGCAGATACACACATTCTACTCTCCCCCATCTCTCTCAAATTCTCCTTAAGACAGCCTATGTTGCGGAGTAAATTAAAATAATAATTAATAATAATAATAATAATAATAATAATAATAATAATAATAATAATAATAATAATAATAATAATAATAATAATAATAATAATAATAATAATAATAATAATAATAATAATAATAATAATAATAATAATAATAATAATAATAATAATAATAATAATAATAATAATAATAATAATAATAATAATAATAAAAATAATAATAAAACCCGTATGGTGGGCGGGCAATAGAATATCCCCATGGTACCCTCTGCCTGGCGTAAAAGGCCCCAAAAATATATACGCTGTGAATACTACTAGAAATAAGCGTTACTCGAGTGGCGTAGGGCTGCAGACTGGCCCTATTCGGAAACGTCAGGAAGCACACCCTGGCGCAGGATCCAGTGAGACTGGTGGCACTGACCTGCGGACGGAAACCACCACGCAAAGAAATCGGTATACGAACGAAAGAGTCTCGATTTCACCTTCTAACCGCGTTGTGATGTAAGATGCACCACCCGCTGCAGAAGGAAACATGAAAAGGCGATTTAAGTGGACACAATCTATGAATGAGCATATTTATCGTACTTACCTGAAAATCACAGAAATGCAAACGAATTCGACACCATACGCAGAGAAACTTTACAGTGAGATGACAACAAAATTCCCAGAACTAAGAATCAAAACCGTTCAGAACATCCTGGATCAAAGAAGACAACTCTTTATAAAAAACAGATTAGATCAACAAGTAATAAGGAATATCAGAGCCGAAGTAGAGCTAGAATTAGGAATCACCCCAACTCAGGAGGTAGAGCCGGACGGTAGGAATAGACACCCACCACAAAACGCAGAACTATCAGCGGAAGACCAGGAAGCCCTAGACGCCTTAAAAGAAGCTCTAGACAAATACTCTGGAATGGATCCTGCATCAAGACCAAATATTCCAAAAATTAGGAATGACCGTAAGGCAAAGTCAAAGATAAAAATAATGAACAGCTTATTAAGCTCCAAAATTCAAGACTGTCAAGAGATTACCGACGTGCACACTCTCATTTACTACGCAGCTGTAGCTACGGCTGTACTATGTGGAAGAACACCAACCAAAGCAGAGACAAATCAAAACAAAAATGCCACTGCTCGAAAACCACAATGGGAGCCAAGACTAGAACGGAAGATAAACATCCTTAGAAAAGAGATAGGAAACCTCACAGAATACAATAAAAATCAAAAACATAGCCAGCGGTTAGAACAACGCGCTACAACAATAACTAAAAAATACACTAACGAAAATAATCAGTCGACAGCAGAGATTTTGGACCTTCTCAAACAAAAATTAAAAGTCTTCTCCAGCAGATTGAGAAAATACAGAGAGGCATATCAACGCAGAGTCCAGAACAGAATGTTTAATCAAGATCAACGGGGATTTTACCGAAACATAAACAACAACAGAACGGCGAACCAAAATGCAGAATATCCCGATCCGGAGGAGATACAGCAGTTTTGGGGAAATATCTGGGAAAAGCCTGCTCTATACAAAACCTCAGCTACCTGGATAAAAGACGAGAACAAGACAAGCGAAAAAATACCGGTAATGCCACCACCGGAAATCTTAGAAAAAGATCTTGAAAACGTACTTGCAAGAGTCTCTAATTGGAAAGCCCCCGGACCGGAGAAGATCCAAAACTTCTGGTTAAAACAATTTAGATCAGTCTGGCCAAAAATGGCGAGTATTTTTGATACATTTCTAAAAAATCCAGATACCATCCCAATGTTATTAACAAAGGGAATCACATACCTTCTCCCAAAATCTGATCAACCAACAAAAGATCCGTCGAAGTACAGACCTATTACATGTCTCCCTACCATGTATAAAGCATTAAGCGGCGTATTATGCAACAAAATATACGAACATCTCTCAAACCATAACCTTCTCGCCGAAGAATAAAAGGGGTGCAAGAGAAAAGCTCAAGGCTGTAGAGAACAACTAGCTATAGACACCACCGTAACACAATACGCGATCAAGAACAAGTAGGACCTTCACACTGCTTTTATTGACTACCAGAAAGCGTTCGACAGTGTGCCCCACTCTTGGCTGTTACAAAGCTTAAGTCTGTACAAGATAAGTCCAACCATCATTGAGATGCTGAAGAATATGATGACCACGTGGAAGACAGAACTAGCTATAGGAAACAATGCAAACCGAATCCAAATTAACATTCAAAGGGGCATCTTCCAAGGCGACGCTCTAAGTGCACTATGGTTTTGCATTGCAATCAATCCGCTATCATCCACAGCTCTCAACAAACTAAAAGGAGGCTACCAACTTAATGAGACTGCCAAGCTAACGCACTTAATGTACATGGATGACATCAAACTATACTCTTCATCCGAACAAGAGCTCAAACAGCAACTACGGTGCGTCGAGAGGTTCTCAAATGATATCCGAATGAAATTTGGAATCGAAAAATGCAAAACCAATCGTTTTCGACGAGGAAAATGGTATAAAACAAATGGACATAAACTCACTCAAGCAGCTGGCGGAGACACAATAACAGGCATGGAACGTAATGAAACCTACAAATACCTAGGGTTTGCTCAAGCTAGAGGAATTGAAACTCAAGAAGTCATAGATATGCTGATGAAAAAGTTTGAGACCAGAATAAAACTTTTACTAAAATCAAAGCTATCAGGCCAAAACCTAGCTGCTGCCTACAATGCATATGCTGCACCAGTAGTTGCCTACAGTTTCGGAGTGGTTTCATGGACGATCACAGAAGAAGAACTCAATAAAATCGCTCGAGTTGCCTTTACAAAACACCGAAAGCATCATCCCAAAGCGTGTAAAAAACGATTCCACTTGCCACGAAATGCCGGGGGAAGAGGGATCACAGATTTCCGCCTGAGATGTAAAAAGCAAATTGAGTTATTGAGAAAATACTTTTATTCTAAAACTGAACATTCACCAGTCCACAAAGCCATAACCGAAATAGACAGAAGACTTACCCAATTGAATCTGTCTGACCACGAATTCAACCCAGACAAAAACTACACCATTATGTCAATTGAAAAGGCATGGAGAGAAAAATAACTCCACGGAAGATACCATAACACTCTTAACAACCACGAAAACATAGACAAAACGGCAACTCTGAGTTGATTGACAAGAGGAGGAATATTTCCCGAGACAGAAGGGTTTCTTTGTGCCATACAGGACCAAATAATACCAACTAGATCCTATCTGAAATATATAGTGAAGGATGGAAACATAAAGATGACGAAGTGTCGTATGTGTAATAAAGGACATGAAAATGTCGAACATCTTATAAGCTCATGCGAAGTCCTAGCACCACGAGAATACACAAATCGGCACAACAACGTCGCAAAGATACTTCACATAGAGATATGCTACAAACTCAAACTAATCGACTGTAAAACACCCTACTACAAATGCAACCCAAAAAATGAAGCAGAGAATGACAACTTTATAGTCTATTGGGACAGAGAGATTCAGACAGATAGAGAGGTAACACACAACAGGCCAGATATTCTTATTTACGAAAAAAATCTAAGGAAATAACAATAATTGATATATCTGTGCCGGCTCCTGCAAATATACACAAAAAAGAAAAAGAAAAAATTGAAAAATACTTACTTCTATCCGAGGATATGAAAGAGACGTGGCAAGCTACAAGTGTGAGAGTAATCCCTATAATAATTGGCGCAACCGGTGAAATTACCAAAAACCTTAAAAGGTACTTACAAGTCCTAGACAAGCCTTTCGGAATACATACAGAACTACAGAAAGCGGCGATCTTGGGAACATGCAATGTTGTCCGTAAAGTACTCAACAAGCCTGCCGAAGAACAGGAACATTAAGAAGAAAACAAAAATCTTGCGAGCTTTGTGACTTGCCTCACCGGCCGCAAGAAACAACCGTGTCATCACACGTGATAAAATAATAATAATAATAATAATAATAATAATAATAATGATAATAATAATGATAATAATAATAATAATAATAATAATAATAATAATTATAATAATAATAATAATAATAATAATAATAATAATAATAATAATAATAATAATAATAATAATAATAATAATAATAATAATAATAATAATAATAATAATAATAATAATAATAATAATAATAATAATAATAATAATAATAATAATAATAATAATAATAATAATAATAATAATAATAATAATAATAATAATAATAATAATAATAATAATAATAATAATAATAATAATAATAATAATAATAATAATAATAATAATAATAATAATAATAATAATAATAATAATAATAATAATAATAATAATAATAATAATAATAATAATAATAATAATAATAATAATAATAATAATAATAATAATAATAATAATAATAATAATAATAATAATAATAATAATAATAATAATAATAATAATAATAATAATAATAATAATAATAATAATAATAATAATAATAATAATAATAATAATAATAATAATAATAATAATAATAATAATAATAATAATAATAATAATAATAATAATAATAATAATAATAATAATAATAATAATAATAATAATAATAATAATAATAATAATAATAATAATAATAATAATAATAATAATAATAATAATAATAATAATAATAATAATAATAATAATAATAATAATAATAATAATAATAATAATAATAATAATAATAATAATAATAATAATAATAATAATAATAATAATAATAATAATAATAATAATAATAATAATAATAATAATAATAATAATAATAATAATAATAATAATAATAATAATAATAATAATAATAATAATAATAATAATAATAATAATAATAATAATAATAATAATAATAATAATAATAATAATAATAATAATAATAATAATAATAATAATAATAATAATAATAATAATAATAATAATAATAATAATAATAATAATAATAATAATAATAATAATAATAATAATAATAATAATAATAATAATAATAATAATAATAATAATAATAATAATAATAATAATAATAATAATAATAATAATAATAATAATAATAATAATAATAATAATAATAATAATAATAATAATAATAATAATAATAATAATAATAATAATAATAATAATAATAATAATAATAATAATAATAATAATAATAATAATAATAATAATAATAATAATAATAATAATAATAATAATAATAATAATAATAATAATAATAATAATAATAATAATAATAATAATAATAATAATAATAATAATAATAATAATAATAATAATAATAATAATAATAATAATAATAATAATAATAATAATAATAATAATAATAATAATAATAATAATAATAATAATAATAATAATAATAATAATAATAATAATAATAATAATAATAATAATAATAATAATAATAATAATAATAATAATAATAATAATAATAATACAAAGCTGTCAGCGAAGAATCAGATTGTCGCTCTAAATTCATGGGCAGTACCTGTCTTGACGTACACATTTGGCATCCTGAAATGGTCCGATGCTGATCTAAATGAGCTTGATCGCCTAACCCGACGTCTAATGACTAAATTCCGATGTCTACACCCTAATGCATCGGTCAAGAGAATATATCTCCCCCGAAAAAACGGTGGCCGAGGAATGGTTAACATTTATAAACTATGCAGGACACAGGAGGTAAAACTAAGACAGCGATTGCTTGAGTCGGAAGATAGTCTAATGAGGTTAGCTACCCAAGAAGATCGAGGGTATACACCTCTTAACTTACAGCACCATCATCTTTTGTTTGATATAAGCACAAGACAAGAAGATCAAGAAACATGGGCGGAACGAGCTCTGCACGGAAAATTTCCAAAGAGTCTGGAGTTAGATAACATCGATAAGGCACCATCATTGGCTTGGCTTGACGCTTGTTATCTATATCCGGAAACAGAAGGATTCATAA